AAGGGCATATCTCCTCTAATCCACATATGTACCTTTGTTTATGCTGCCTGAGTATCTCAGTCTCTATGTACCTGGAGATAATTATGCGAAAACACACAAAAAGTTCTACTTTATGTGAACTAGGTGTATAACTAAATAAGTGTGAAAATTAATAAAGATAATGCATTTCAAATCTACAATTGAAAAGATACAAAGATACATCTGAAGACGTACATTACCTTACTTTCCTTGTGATAAAGAAGATCATTTATTATTATTAATTATTATTATTATTATTATCATTAGGCACTGGGGATTGAATCTAGCATCTTCTCAATGACCTGCATCTTCAGCCCTGTTATGCTTTTAAATTTAAAAAAAAATTTTCATCAGTGTCTTGGTGAGTCTTTACACTGTCCAAGATGGACTTATACTTGTGATCTTTCTGCCTCAGCTTCAAGTATTATAGGAGTGGGTCACCACTTCTAGCTTGTTTTTGAAAAGAATTATGCTATTCATAAATAATTCAAAAAACTGTTTAAGTAGAGTATTCCTTGTTCTGAATGGGTTACCAGATGAGTAGGAGCAAGTATCATTTGAATATAATATTATTCACTTGTGGACTATACAGTGTTTAGGTAACTGATCTGTCCTCCATGAGTTCCAGGATGACCTGTAGCCCTCAGCCTAATGGCAGAGAAAGACTCTTAGTAAGACTGCGAGAACAATGTTGAAGGCTGAAATTCATATTTTTATAAAACTTTATCCCATCCCTTTTACAAATGTTCTACCTCTGCTAAAATATTAGACTAGATCCTTTTGAACTTGAAGATAGATAGTTTGGCACTCCTGCTATGCAGTTCTTGCAGTTATATATTCAAAATTCCATCTCAGGATGTTCCATGATAATATAATATATAGGAGAAATTCCACGTATGATGTGCATTAAACTTGTTATCTTCCCTTTAGAAACCTGGTTTTCTAGTGCTTGCTTTGGTAGCATATATATTAAAAAAAGAAACCTCTTTTCTTTCTTTCTTTCTTTCTTTCTTTCTTTCTTTCTTTCTTTCTTTTTTTCTTTCTTTCTTTCTTTCTTTTCCTTCCTTCCTTCCTTCTTTCTTTCTCTCTTTCTTTCTGTACTTCTTTCTTGTGACAGGTTCTCGCTATGTAGTTCAGGTTGGCCTTTAACTCACTATGTAGCCCAGGCTGGCCTCGAACTTGTAATGTTTCTCCTCGCTCAGCTTCCTGAGTGCTAGGATTATAGGGGCATGCCACCAGGCCTTATAGAAACCTGGTTTTCCCTACTTACTTCATCGCTAGCTTGGTGATGTCATCAATTCTGGGTGAAACCTAGGTTCAGTTCCTCTTTGGTAAAATCATGTCATTTAAAAATATTTTGTGATGCTGAGGAACAATCACTCCCAGCACCTCACACATGCCTAGCTATGCTCTACCACTGAGTGAAACCTTCCACCCCCTCTCTATTCTTTTTAATATTGCATATATATTTATGTTTGTCCTTTTCTCCCCCTTTTCATTGTAAGGTCTTTAGTCTCCACTTTTTTTCCTTACCTCCTCATTGGTCTCTGGGCATTATGCTTTCCCAGAAGCCACCAGAGAGATGTTCTGTAATACAAAGCTGACAAAGTGAATGAAAGTGATCACCTGACACAGGGCTGGAGATTTTTTCCTTCTCCATATTTCTCATATAGGAGTGATGAAATTTTGGTGTTTGCATTAGCTTGGATATATTGCTATCTCATTAGGGTGAACCATGTAAACCCTTGAGCACCACAACCTGGAATCTCTGACATGATGGGAGACCTTTAAGAATTGATGTTTCTGATACACATAGCATAGCATATCCCACAGTAAGTCTGAATCACTGGATCCGACGCTGGAAGAAAAATGTAGGACATCAGCTTAAAACTGCTTGTGATTGGAGTGTGGGGATTGGAGTAAGGGTATTGCTGATCTACGAAGACACTGGAATGCAGGAAACTGAAGAATTTATGAAAATTACTCCTTTGAGCTGAGCTAAACTGACATGAAATGTATGTGATACTACTGCTAATAATTTTCAACCCCAAGCTTATGTTTTTTTGAAACAAACTTCAAAATCTCTCTCTCTTTCTCTCTGTCACTGTCTGTGTCTCTTTCTCTGTTTCTTTGATACTAGGGATTGAATTTAAGGCCTTGCTTGTCCTAGGCAAGCACTATCCTATGGACCTATATCTTCAGCCTCTCATAATTTTTTTACAAAAAAATTGTAAAATATATGTTGTATGAAAACAGAATTTGATGGAGTCCAATCTGTTTCAACAATCAATCTCTACAAATGTTTTTCAGAAGGAATTTGCCTGTTTTTGAAGAATTTTACTTCTATTACACTTTTCTGACTATAGAAAAATTAAGTATGTTAAAGAAAATGGGAAGACTTGTAGAAATATTTGATCATATTTGAGGAATATTTTCATCAATGCCATTGGCAAAGATGTATTTGTGTATCTCAGTTTAGGGACTAATAAAATTAGAAATGTGAGTCTTTCTTATAAAGATCGATAACAGATAATAGGCAGCTATTTACTTAGAGTGAAGACTAAAAAAATTTTAAAGCAAATATAAATTTGGCAATGTTATGATTCAGCAAATAGTACTAAAAGTTGCTAAAATATTCTTGAAGAAAGTAGAATACTCTTGACTCCTATAGATTGAGACTTTTGCTTTTCTGTTATTGTTTTAGTTAATTGATTATGTCAACTTGAGTAAATAATACCTAACTAAATTGGCTAGCATAGTTATGGGTGTGGAAGACCCACCCTAGGGTTGATTGTTGTCAAGAATGCTATAAAAGGGAGACAAAGAAGGAAGATTTGCTTCTGTCTTCTTCAGAGGAGCTCCAGTCTTCACTTTCACATTGCACCTCATCTCCTGGCTTCCAGTGCAGACTCTGTAGCCTTCCAGTGGAGACTGTTGGGCCTTCTGGCACAGACTCCTCAGCCTTCAGGCACAGAGCCTTTGGACCCCTGACATAAGACACTCTATGGAGCTCCAGGCCTTCAATGGGATCCTTTGGACCATGGAGAAGGTACTCCACTAGTCTATGTCAGACATACAAATGAGTTACCAGATGGCTTTCCTTAACTGAGATCTCATGCATGCAAGACATGATGAAGAAATGTGATCGCTTTTAAATCTGAATTATTATCCAAGGACTAGCTTGGAAGGTTGCTACAGGGAAAAGGTTTAAGAGCAGAAAGGCTGGGTAGAAGAGAGACAGTCCACAAGAATGGCCAATAGAACTGAAAAAAGGAGAAATACAGTTGGACACAAATTTACCTACATTATAATCCCTTAAAGAGAAAAGAAGAGAAAACGATACAAATGTCAACATATCTGGAAACTTAGCTCTTCTTCAACTCTTCAGACTTCTTGAGTACTGAGTATCCATCCCTTCGTGACAGTCTGAGTGGCTTCCAAGCGGACACTTGCTTGTTTTGAGGCATCCCACACCCTCCTGGAAAGTGTCCTCTCACAAGACTGTTGTTACCTGGTAATATTCTACTTTAAATTCTCTAGTTCTGTATTCATTTCTATGGAACTGGACAAAATTTTACATGATAATTTTACATTTTGAAAATTTGAAAAAATACAGATGCTCATCGAGCTAGGGAAGCACTAAAAATGTGTTCAGGCCCAGTTCCTTAACTGCATCTTTCATTCAGCACATGCCAGTTCTTGATCAATTTGAGAGGTTTGAAAATTCATTCATTTTTTTTGGTTTCCACCTTTTTAATATAATCTAGATTCTCCTTTTCTAAAAAGAAATCTTTCATCCTCTTAATAAAATCATTGTCCCATAATTTATCTTCTGTGAATATGAAGAATTTGTTGGCAGCTCTCTCAGGTGTTTGATATTCTTGAGTTTACTAAAGACAAGTAAAATTCTAATCATCTCAATTCCTTTAGCCTTTCCTCATAGAACCCATCTTCTAGTTTTTTATCTGTTACTCTTGCCTAATCACCCCATTTCACCACCAAACAACTCCCAGACTCTGCAGTGTACCCTCATCTAAATCCTAGTTAAGAATTATGACTATCTCTTTTTCTCTCAATATATAATGATTCACATTTAATTTTCTGCTGTGCTGAAGCATTTATTGATTACAAGCATGGGAAGAAATAGCTCAGGGTATATTGAGATACCACCGATGATGTGTGAACCATCTGGCAATAGAAATTATCGTAGGCAAGGCGGTAAAGAGAGAGGCAATACATTCTTGCAGAAGAAACAAAGGCAGATCAGGACTAGATCATAATTAACCAGTAACCCATCAGGTCAGTGGACGAGACCATGATTCAGATAGAGGAATTTAGTTGAAGCTACACTGTCCTCAGCTATGATGTTATCTCAGTCAGGGCCCTACAGCTTTATAAATCAGGACTTAGGTCTCAGCTACAGCCATGGGGGGGCGGCTATGCTCTCCTAGCCCACTGTCTGGCATGCCCACAAGTATCACATAGGCTTCGGTCAGACTCCCAATATAATACAGCTGAATTATGGGGAGGCAAGAAGCCTATGCCACTTATAGGCTACTAATAAACTGGGCAGGGGAGGTCAGCTACACTGTTGCAAAATAAAATTAAGGAAAAAAACCCCTAGAAATATAACTCGCCGGTAAAGTGCTTGCCTACAGCAAGACTCTACGTCCAATTCCCAGTACACAAAAAGGATTCTTTGATGTTTACAATTATTGTATTTTCCCTCATAAATGTAAGACCACAGATAGGATGTGGTAGTCATGACCTTTGGTCTTCAAGTCTATTATGTTGTTAATAAATTGTAATCACACTCTGATTTGAAGACAAAACGGCAGGTGGTGCACAACATCTATGAGTAGATAGAGAACTTCTGGTTAAGTTCAACATATCTTACATACTGTGCCACATAGTCTTCTGAAATTCTAGTATACTTTGCTTTTTCAGATATCATCAATATATTTAAGAAATTATACTATAATTTACAAATTGCATAGTCTTCTCATTGCCACCTTCATCTCTTTATTTCTAAAAGTATAGATGACAGGATTTAGAAGAGGAGTAATAAGTGCATCAAAGATGCCAAGGAATTTATCCAGATCTGATGTGGGAAATGGCCATATATAGAAAAATATTAATGGCCCAAAGAACAAAACCACCACAGTAACATGAGCTGACAGACTAGACAGGGCCTTGGATAAACCACCCAACAGGTTTTTTTTAACAGTTAGTAAAATAAAAATATAAGAGATGATCAGAATTAAAAAGGAAGCCACAGAAATAAATCCACTATTGGCAGTAATCATGAATCCTAGTGTAAAGGTCTCTGTGCAAGCAAGTCTTATAAATCGAGGAAGGTCACAAAAAAAGCTGTCTAATTCATTAGGGCCACAGAAGGGCAAGTTGACAACAAAAGCCAATTGAATCACTGAATGAACAAGACCAATAATCCAGGAAGTGATTAAAAACAAAATGCACCTTAGTGGACTCATGATGGTCAGGTAGTGCAGAGGTTTACATATGGCCACATATCGGTCAAAGGCCATGGCTATGAGCAGCACCATCTCAGTTCCCCCAAGTGCATGAATGAGAAAGATCTGAAGTACACAGGCCTCAAAAGAGATGGTTTTGTGCTTTCTGAAAAGGTCATAAATCATCTTGGGAGCTGTGGAGGAGCAAAATATTACATCAATGATGGAAAGGTTGGCTAACAGGAAGTACATGGGAGACTTTAAATGGGAATCTGATGTCACAGTTAGCACAATGAGGAAGTTTCCCATCAGACTTGCAACATAAAACACACAGGAAAAGAGGAAGAGAAAGAACTGCATAGCCCAAAAATTGGAGAATCCTAATAACACGAACTCAGACACCACAGAGTGGTTGGCTCCATCCATTGCCTCCATCAGCAGCCTCATGCTACCTGAAAGAGGAGAAGATGGAGAAACTCTGATTTAAGATAAATGGACTGATCTTGGTAAAATCATGAGCAGTTCAAAACTTGTCAGAAAACTAATAAAGGCTAATTTATGACTTTGGAGAGAATTTTAGATAACTTTCTCATATTTTTTTCTTTCCCTTCTTTCCTTTCCCCCAGTCCTCTACTTCCTCTTCCCCTTTGAACCTTTCCTTCCTATTTCACATTATCTATTATACATTTTGCTCCTCATTTACATTTTCAGTTTCTCACACAAATTCCCAATGATGAACGTGATCATATTGTATAACTAAAATGTACTGATAAAGTTCATTTAAAAAGAAAAAAATTGATAACTTTCATTTTATATGAATATCTCAGTTGAATTTTAAGTATTATTTTATAGCCTTATCTCTTACATGACTATGATCAAAAAGATTTTTTTCCTTGCAATTCTGGTGATTGAAGCTAGGGTTTCACATATGCTAGACAAGTACTCTATCATGGAGTAACATCCCAAGCAATTTTTATTTTATTTTGAGTCAGAATTTCACTAAGTTGCCTGGGCTGGCCTCAAACTTGCAACCCTCTTGCCTCAGCTACCAAGTAGATAGAATTACAGATGTGTACCATCACACCTAGCCAAAATGTTATTTATATATTTACTGTGAAATACTTAAAAATAGTGAGTTTGTGAACTTAAGTGTTCCCCAAGATATTAATGCTACATGTATGACCACATGCCAAGTTCTTGCAAAATCCTCATTGGCATTTTTAAGGCCTGGAAGATGTAAATTTCTCTTTATCCATAAATCAGAAAGACAAGATAAATTATTTTAAAAGAAGCCAAGAAATACAGGAGTAGAGGATTCCAGATCATGACAGTGACCACAAATGCTAGAGAAATGGAAACAACACTGTACTGTAGAAGAGATTCTAAGGGTTGGAAGAAGAAAAAAATGTGAGACATCAAGTAAAAGAGCCAAGAAAAATGACACTCAGGAGTCATAAATCCCAAGCAAAAGAGAACAAACAAGAGTGGATATATCAGAAGATTTAGAAATGGTCCTGTCTACTTGCATACATTAATATTTAATGTCATTCGTTACTGAATAAATGCATATTAAAATAGCAAGATACTCATGTTTTTCTTATCATTTGGGCAGATATCTACACATTTGACAAAATTCAGTGTTCTAGAGGGAAATGGGGAAACAAGCAATCTCATGGCTGATGGTGAGAAAGCATGCTGATAAAACATCTGCCAATTTTGAAATACCTTCTGAATTTTTCTGTGTTCATGTACTTTGACTCAGCTCTTCAAGGAAGAAAAATTCCTGAATATATGTATATGTTCATGTGAACTAGGTGAATAAAGAGATGGCATGATGACACACACCTGTAACCCTTGCCCTCCGGGGAGGTGAGGCAGGAGGTTCTCAAGCTCAGTCCTACACAACAACTTAGCAACTTAGTGAGACCCTGTCTGAAAACAAAAATAAATAAATAAATAAATATGGCAGGGGATGTAGCTCAGTGTGAAGCTACACATTCCCCCACACCACGAAAAAAAGTGAACAAAGAAAGAGAATTTCTTTTTATTCTTGCTACAGGATTGTGCTTTTTTGTTATTGTATAGTTTTTATTTTTTCCAAATTTTTTGTGGAAATTATATATAATAATAATTTACCATTGTAAGCATTTTAAGTATACGGTTTGGTACTATTAAATACATTTATAATACTGTACAAATATCATAGCCACCCATATCCATAGCACATTTCATCTTGCAAAACTGAAATTCTTTTTTTATTCATTAAGTTTATTGGTACATTTTAGGTGTACAACATGATGACATTCATAATTGGAAATTTGTACCTTTACATCATATACCTAGGTTTTTATTTTTCCTCCTTCCCCTGCCCTCCCTTCAACCCCTTCATCCCTCCCTGTATACAAAGACTTTGTTTCCATTTTTTCTTTTCTCATATTTATTCCTTTCCCTTCTTTCCTTTCCACAACTCCTTCCACTTCCCCTTCACATTTGAACAATTTTTCCCTATTACTTTCAGTTTCTCACACCACATGCTAAAGTATTGTTTTTAAAAGCAAAATCCTGATGCTAAATTAAACGTGCAGTCTAAGAATCTAGGTAAATAATTTATATTAGATTCAAATAGAAGACTAGTATTAAATAACTTATATTAGACTCCTTCCATGGAATACTACATAGCCATTTATAATACTGAGGTATAACTAAAGATATGTAGGGAAGATAGAGTCTGGCAGTGTCCAACATTGTCTTATTCCTATCTACATTTTAAAATAAAATTAAACAAATTATATAATAGAAAATGTTGGGGTTAACCCATGAAAAGCTGTTAACAGCAATTATCTCTAAAGAGTGAGGTTGAAAAATTAATGAAGAAAAAGAGCTTTTACTTTTCAATTTGTGCTTTTCTCTCTTAAATTTTTGCAGTGAGTATATATCAATTTCACTCTTACAATAAGATAAATGTATGTGCTTTTGGAAAATATAGAAATTGCAACTCCAGAACATCCAAAAAGGAGCATGGATATAATCAAAATATATATATTGAAACCCAATATTTTGTAAAAATTAATAGACACTAATAAAAAAGAATATCCAAAGATATAACCTATCACCCAAATTAAGAATTACAGTTTTTCCCAAAGTAGTCACTAAATTTTACTCCACTCTTCCCTAAACCTCACACTCCACCGCTTCCTCTTCCCTGGACATGATCTCAAATGGTTTTTACTCCTACACACATGCATATTGTAGCTCATGCCTTTGCTCTAAAATCCTCCCTCAGCCTGCACTGCACTTGCTGTTTGGCATTCTCCAAAGCTTCCCATTTTCTCTAACACCTCATTCTCTGATACCCGTGCTTTTATATACACTAAATGGAGATAAATTTGGTCCTATGTTTAGGTAACCAAACCAAAACCAACAACAATAATAGTACTGTGTTAATAGTGATCTAGCAAAAAACACTATTGAATTCCCTATTATGGTAAATAATGTTTCCCCAGTGTGTATTCAAAATTTCTTATTTAAACATATTTGTGATAATGGTATAAAGGACAAGCACATCCATAAAGAGAAATTCAGCTTAGAATTCAATTCCTTTCATAGTGATTGTCATCAGCAACTTCTCCACTGATGCAATTTATCCAAACATGACAGTTCTAAATCGCCCCTATACAAGCTGTAAGTTATTTTATCAATGCTATCAATTCTGGCTCAATACTAAACCCTTTTTAATTTTTATACAAAACCTTGTTTTGTTTTTAAGGAATTTTTGTTTTATGTATCAGTTGACCAAAGATTTAAAAAACTAAATAATGGGTAAAAATTTAGAAAATAGCGTTGTCACTCACTGGTGATACTGCTTTCTATTCAGTCTTCCTTGTTCTGTCTAAACTTAAAACCTGAGGTCTCTAAGTACAATTAGTTCTCCTCTTTAAATACTGGACCTACCTTTTTAACAAGGACAGAATAATAATATGAATCTGATCTTTCAGTGAAGAAAGATAGAAGCTGTCTACTCAATGCATTAACATGAGAGCAAAATAGGTTATTATAGTGCCAAAGAACTAAATTCCCATGTACCTACTCACTGTTCTGAACCCTACAATTGTGCTTCACATGGAGCAATAACCTCTATTCACACTCCCACCACTAAGCACAGAATGTAAAGAGGAAGACCAGAAACTATCTACTCATCAGTTGACTCCCTCCTTTGCCCAGCTCTGCTCATCCTTGTACAGGCCAACATAAATAGGAAAGGAGCTTTAAATCATCTGAGCTGACTACCAGTTGAACTCTAGCACTCCTTTTTAAAATAGATCAGTGTTTGGAGTAACTTAGATACACTTGCTATCTTCTATTATTTAAACTTTTGCCTTAGTTTACTAACCATGTTCAGATAAAATTAGAGTAACTGGAAAATACTAAAATTTTCAAGGAAACATTTTAATCCAATCATCATAGAAGTTTCTCTGCCAGGTTATTCTTGAGGTAGATAGAAATTGCTCAGGGTACTATTTAGAACACAAAATGTACTACAGGAACTGGTACCGAAGCTGCATGCTGCTAAAATGATTGTTCTCACAGCTACCAAAACACCAAGGCTGTACATTGTGAACACCTGAATGAAATTTTGCTAGTGAATGTAAAATCTCTTTATTTTAGAATTAAGAATACAAAGGTCAAGGGAGGGTAAATGACCCTGCTGAAGCTATGGAAAAAAATAATGACAATCTCAAAATAAACATGACTGAACCTGGCCTCATTAGTCCAGGTTATTTCTACTACACCATTTTTTTTGCTACTATTGATCCAAACTTTACATCCTATCTGTGGTCCAAGAAATCATAATATATCAAAGCTACAAGAGAGCAAGAAGAGAAGATTTTGAAAATTTCACCACAACAAAATAATAAATATTTGAGGACAGGAATACACTAATTATCCTGACTTGATCATCATACAATGTATGGTTACACATGCATTGAAGCACTACAGGGTACCCCATTAATTGATGTATTTATTAGGTTCCATTTAAATATTTTAGAAGAAAACCATATATGTACAAATACAAATTCTAATTTCCTTAGCATTGTTCAAAATTCCTCATCTTTTACTCCAAATGGGCAATACTTCATTTTAATTTTATTCTTTGCCTGGAGACTTATAAGCAAATACCACCAGAATAACCTGTACAATACTGGATATGAAGTCATGACCCAACTACTCATCTTTCTGTCCTCTACATTTTGGTGTTAATGTACTGAAATTCCCCTATTGAAAAATAGAGTTGATTTATCTCTCCTAGTTGATTAAATTCTTCCTCTGATTGCTTTGCATGTTTCCACATGAAGTTCTGATCTCCACCAAACACAGTTTCCATCCATCTGACCTACCTGGAAAAATGTTGAAATTATCATGAAGTTATAAAACCA